ACCTTCGATATAGAAATAAAAAGACCCGTAAATCGGCATTCTTAAGTTATCATTTTTTTTCCGTCTGGATTTATCAAGATGCCATGCCGCTCCAAGTCCTAACTACAACTGGTAATGGCTCGGGAGGGAAAAATGCATAACCAAATATTATTTTCGTTCCATATGAATGGCATTTTTTATATTTAACGATCCAGTAAAACAAAAAAGAATTGTATAGGTACCTATCTACGAATTTTTGTTTTTAAATAAGTATTGTAGTGTGTAGATCATGGTATCTATTATTATTAATTAATGTAAAACAAGCCATAATATATATTATACATGTTCGACGCTATACATTTTTTCTCGAGGGGGAATGGGTATAACAAACGTAATTTGTCGACTGATAATTAAGAAGATTCCGACTATATTTTAAATTTTGAATGTAGCTATTTTACTAAAGTGTGTGTTTTTTATCGGAAAAAAAATCTATGTATTCTCTCTTTCTATTAGTATAAAAGAGCTCCAAATTGTTCACATCGTACATTAAAAGATTCAGATTTTTCCCCCAAGTGGTATTTAATTTGTTGTATTTCGTGTGTGAAATGCGTAAGTTCCGTTCGGTTTTAACGAAATTATCTGAGTAGTTTTTATCAATGTTCAATTATTCTATGAAACGGTATCGTACAAAATAATGGATTTCATTAGAGATTCGATAAATAATATTATTCATTGAACATAATTATACAACTATTTGAAATAATAATTGACATTTGGCGATTTTTGAAATGTCTATTCGAGACAACTTTCGTGTCAGTATGTCATATTCACCAATTGAAATGTACATATCCCCCTTCTTGTATACCTCTTCTTAAATCCAGCACTGTATATTTAGTTTAAATTGTATACGTCTGTACCACGTAATGTAAAAAAGTAGTTTTTGAAAAAATTAAAATACTAATAATATTATCAAACGTAAACATAAATATAAAATATGATTCTACATATTATTATCTTTAGATTATTTCATTAGTAATAATTTGTCTTCGATTAATTATATGAGTAGTATCGTAACATTCATAACATGCCTATTATGATAACATTGATAACCCAATAACGACGCTTAACTATATTAGGCTTATCTACTTTGTTCGATAACGACTAGGTAACCATAGTAATAACCTCGATAATTACTAATAACTTATAAGGCTCGTGACTTATAGTAGCTCTAAACGAATGTAATTATAAGCGGATACACTTCTAAAAACAATCGTTCGATCAAATAAAAAATATGCGTCAAACATTTCTAAATATGCAACACGGTGACGGCGAAAAATCAATAATTAATATTAACTACTTCAACTTGTTGTCGTAGTATTTTCTGCCTTTGTAGGTTTTTGAACTTTGAACTCCTCAATATCGTGATAATAATTGCTCTGAATTCTCGGAAATTATTAAAACAATACACGTGGTAGGCACAATTAAATATAAGGGGAACTCCTTCCGGTTGTTTGGATAGTTTCGTCGATTTTATCAACGACCACCGATAATAATATACCATGCACAATACTATCTAATTATAATACAAAACAAATGTTTTTATTTTCTATTTATATATACACGATTGTAAAATATCAATAATAATATATCCTAGATAGTTTGAGAAGTTTCTGTATTTTATAAAATCGGCTAATGATTCTGGAAGATAAAGGAAATAACAGAAAATTCCGAAATTCTTACAAATTTTTAATTTTACTTGTTGGTTATAAACGATGACGGATCGAAACAAACACTACAAAAGACCACTAATTGTAATAAACTCAATAAAATTTCGAACGAATACATTTCTACTAATTTGTAATGATATATAACAATATATTCTAATTCTATAGCAGCATAGGTACTTATAATATTATAGATTCAAACGATTTAATTAACCTAATTTTATTATCAGTTAATTTTCACGTATGCAATATAATAAATTAATTACACAGTTGCGAATAGTGTTTGAGATTTGGAGGGGGGGCGAAGCTCAAGTCCGTACCCGGATTTTTCATGATACAGAGTGTAACAGGACTATTTGACATTTTTACATGTAACTACAATGTGAAAATGTCGAAACAGTCCTGTTATACTCTGTATATTCCAATGCGGTGTTAAATCTTCTGCTTTTATTTTTGAGAGAGGAGGCAGTTAGAGGTTACTTAGCTCCCCTCCCGCGTTTTTGCGTCTAACGTCTATGATTATTTAATATTTTTAAAGGCGTTGATATTGTTTGATAATACCTATATATTAATAGGTACTGTAACATTATTATATTATTATAATATCGGGTCCCGCTCGGTTTCGTTTGAATAAATTAAAAACAAAAAAAAAAAACAAAATTATAATAATAATTATATATATGTATATTCGTGCATGCATTATAATGTAGATAGGTATACCAGCGCTACTTTGGCCTTGGGTATAAAGATCGTATAGGCAGATTCCCGTCCCATCCGGTGGATTGGCGCGCATTTTTAAGAACACACAAAAAAAATAAATAAAATACTTCTACACAACCTTGTGCACAGCTGTTATATTCTTCGTGTGAGACCGATGTAGTCCAGCTTCCTGTCCCTCTCGATACACACACACGCGCGCACACACACACACACATACACACACACACACACACACACACATATATATATATATATATATATATATATATATACATGTGTTATTCACCTCTACCGAGAAAACGAAGGTAGGTATATAAATATAATAGTATATGTATAGTCGGTCCGATGGACAAATCAGGTATTACAACACTCGTGGGATTTAATTTTAGGAGAAAAAAAGAGAGAAAGAAAACGACGACGACGACAGGTTGTGCCTTGGCATTTTACAGTTTCATTCGTTCACGCGGTGACGATCCCAACCCCGATTTATTATTACGGCTTACACGTAAACGTAATAATGGTAAACGGCGGACGCGGTGCCCGTTTTTATTATTATTATTATTTTTTTTTATTATTTGATGTGCCCGAACAGAGCATAGTGGGACGCCACATGGATTCTACGGACGGACATTTATATTATTTTCGTCGGATTGAAAAATCGATCGATCCGCCGCGGCTCTCCTCGTATACATTATTACATTGTTGCCGCTTGAGCGTCCGTCCCAAAACCATATTATAATGTATTACATTATACTTTTAGAATTATGAACTCTTTCTCTATTCCCCCCGCGCGTTTTATCCGTTTTTGTCATCGCATTCCCGTCATCTTAAAAATGTCTTACCCGCCCACCGCCATTATTCAGTCTGCCGTGTATAAGATCTAAACGCCCCCCCCACACCTCCCGACCGTTTCATTCACAACGAGAATTTCCCTCCGACAATATAATATAATATACATATATATAAGTACTTGTATACGATATCGGTGAATCAATAATAATATTATTCAATTGTAAAAACACGAATATAATATAACCGCGCGTCTCCGGGATCGGGGAATCGACGACAGGAATTTTCACAGATTTTGACAGTATTATTATTGTATACTGTTCGCGTATATAACTTTCTCGAAGCCACCAACGAACAACATTTTATTCTAAGTCGTGGGTGTTATCGTCTAATTTTTCTATGGATAACTGGTGATAACACTGTTGTATCTGTTTTTTTATCATTGTTATCGTCGAGGCCAAAACCGTGATTCTAATGTTACACAGCAAATCACAGAGACGTAATAATATTACTGTTTCCAAGTTTAAACCAGAGTTGATGCCTTCCTGCAGTGTTGCTAATTAGAAAAAAAAATATAAAAATATTATACTCTTTTTAGTACCTACAATATTGGTCACATTTTAAATTTATATAATCATATTTTAATTATTATCATTGATAAACTCGATTGTTGATTATCATAGTTTACGCTGGGATCTAGTGGTGCGTACTGTATTAGGATGTCCTTGAACAAATTAACGTACGATTTCAATTTTATACTATTGTTAATAAATACTACGACACTTCTATATTACTCTGTTCTGAGGATATAACGAATCCCCGGGATAAATAATCCTCTAGGTTCTAGGACGGAATACGGAGAAAAATAATACTCAAACCCAGAAAAGACATTCTTAACACTATTATCAAACTCTCTAGTATTAAACTTTCAAGTATAATAAACATATTCTATTAAAAAATGTATTGAAAACCTTTTTATTAATAAAAACTAGTCATATTATAAAATAATGAGAATTATTATTTGGACACACTTTGTTGCGGCTATCATGTTGCCAACTGATTTCAGTGGACAGTGAAATATTTCAAACAATAAAAATATAGGTAGCAGATATTATTTCTGTTGAATTCTATTCGATATTATCATAGATTTATGGGATTTAAGAATTTGAGGAAATACCAAACTAATTTTATTTTATATAATATTATAGGTTTAAAACAGTTTTAGTATTGTAGTGGTAATAATTATTTAATTATAATGTTAGTATATTATATGCATTATAGTATGATTAAAGACTGGATTTAATTGCATTTAAAACACAAAAATTGCATATTAAAATTATATAATTGCACCAAAAAATATGTAAAAATTGCACTATAAAAATGCAAAATTTATATAAAAAAATTTAGATAAATGTTACTTTTTTAAATTAAAACTGATAATCAGATACATTTCTAAGTTATTTTCATTAAAATTAAATTTTCTATTACTTAAAATATGTTTGAACAAAGAAAAACTACGTTCTACGTCTACACTAGTTATTTGTGCGTATTTAAAACAATTTAATAAAATAGGCGTTATATCTAAATTAATATTTGCTTTACCTGACATGACTTGATAGTAAGAATTTAAAGTTTATACCCTTCAATTTTTCTAAAAATATCCATGCTTTTCTGTAGTTCACTATTAGATTCTTCCAAATTTTTAAGATTCATGGATACCTCGGATAAGTGTAATTTTATGAATGCTAAACCACATTTGGCTGCATTATTTTGTACAAGCTGTTTCAGCTATTCGACACTTGTAGCATCATCTGTTAAACTTTCAATCACGTTTTTAAACTCTTCAACATTATTTGCATAGAAAATTGCAACATTTAAACATATTCCTAATCTTGTAATAATAGGTTCGGGTGGTAAAAGTATACCTGGCATTTCTTTTCTGTATTTATTTATTCTCGATGGTGCTTTTAGGAAAGCTTTTTTTCTTAAAATAAACGAAATAAGTTACATATGTATTTAAATTTTAAATAAGTACTTCATATATTACCATTTTTAATCAATTTATTAATATCGGGGTATAATTCTCGAATTTTCTCTAGAACTCTATTAACTGTGTATACATGTAATATGAATTAATTTCGGGAAAAATATTTTTAATGTTTTTTGCTGCTTTGATCATATATGTACCAACATCACTAATAAAAAACAATACGTTTTGTTCAATACCAGGAAATATTTTTAACAAGGAATTAATAAACTGACAAATAGTTTCATAATTGGTGGATTTTAGTTCTTTACATGCAACTAAATATGATTTACTAGGCATTCCATCTAATTTACAAATTAATAAATTTACAATAGCCAAACCTAAACGAAAATAGTATATTTTATTTTATGAGAAATTAAAAAAAATAATTATACAAACCTCTTGGATCGGTTGTTTCGTCAACAATTATGTAAACATAATTATTTCCAATATCACTAATTATTTGGTCCGGAACGCTTTTATAAATATTTGGTATGTAATTGTTTCTTAAAGTGCTTTCGTCCGAAATTGATTTGCCAATATATTTTTCCAAAAATAATTTTAACACATGATTATCCAGCTTATGCAAAGGAATATTTGCAGCAACAAATGCATTAAATACATCTTCAAAAAATACATTTTTACTATTCGAATTTTGAGAAATAATCAAAAGCTGTTTTTTTTTATTTATTCCTCTGTAATGCATTTATGTGTTGAAATAAAAAAAATACACATTTATTTTTGAAATAATATATAGTACATTACGTATAGTATGAGCATAAAATACAAAACTTACTAGTTTTGAAATAATGATTTAATAGATATTTTTTTTTTCAGTAGACGCAGATTTATTACATATAAGACAATATATAACCTTTCCATCTGATGAAAATACTTCTTTATTTTCATTGTAAGGAGCAATCCAATTCGAAATTTTACTTTTTAAAATTGATTAGGCATTACGTCGAATACGTCACTTTGCGGTCAAACTGATCAAAGAAATAAGTACTAAGGTACCAACAGGTAAATGCACACGAATCGCTGTACTACTACGTTGAATTTAATTACCACCGTATATATATTGACAGTTATCGCTCTCTGGGCCCTCCAAACTTCTAGAAAATTCCAGACTAACAATAAACGCCTATGATTAAAAAACGTGGGAAAATTGCAAAAACGTCGAAAATTGAAAAAAAATTGCATTATACAATTAAATAGGCAGACAAATTTTTCCCTAAACTTACCCGAGTCGGACTGTTCTTAATATTGAAGTCGGCCAATGGTCCTAATAATCAGTTGATTAACCGAAAAAAAAATGTGGGTTTAGGGATTTTTGTTTTCTGTGTATCATCCTCGTGGGATTTTTATTCTGAATACTGATATAACATTTATCGTGGTATAAAAGTGGACAATAAGGACCGAGGTCTTCGAATTAAATGTTGGATTGAAAACCTCACGTATTAGCTATCTAGTTAATTATATCTCTGTGGGTATTATTTAAGTCGACGCGTTGTTAAAATCTAAAAAAAACAATATGAATAAAATAGTATCAAAAATGATAATAAAAAACTGATATTGCGAATATATATAATAATGAAACATAATTTTATTTTTAACAAATTGAATTAAAATCAAATACAATAAGTTTTTTCGGTAAAGCATACATTTTATACATTTCAGATTTGACGTGATCTATATACCTATGTAGGTACCTACCGTCCGTATCAAAAAATCGGTTACAAATCTTTCACTTCTGTATTGTAAGAACAATAAAATATCGCTGGTGATGTGTCTTTTGTCCCATTACTAACGCATTTGAAAGAACGAAATGGGGAAAATTTTGGCGGTATGAATTAGGGACATTTGGTCTTTCAGTCTCGCCTGCGTCTGCGAGGGTTCAGTAACGGAAAGAAAACGTTCGTCTTCCCCCCTTTAATACCCAGACGGTATCGGTTTGGGCTCCCCCAGTATACGAAAAAAAAAGAAAGAAACTCATTTGAAAAATAACGGTCACGACTGGTGTAAACCTTCGATCGTACGTCGTTGTAGTTTATAAAATCCAAAGAAATCTTAGTTACAACATTTATTATTATAGTATTACAATTTCTTTTTTTTTTCAAATGAGTATTTCTTTTTAATTTCACTATTATTTTTGAATTTTATTATAGGATTTTAAATTATTAAAAACTAAATATTCATTGATTTTACATTCCTTACCTATAAACGTAAAACAATAATACTTAACTTCCGGCGATTCATGAAATAAGTTCCAGTTAGAATATTTTTTTTAAATTATTTCAACTATGTATGAAAATATGTAACAATGTCTACTCGTGTTATATAGTAATAATTATTACTAACTGCATAAGCAATTCATTCCGATCGTATTTCAATGAAAAGGTATACACCTTAAAGATAACATTCCAAATTTGATATTTTCTTGTAAATAGTTGTAACCTAACGAGTATTTATAAATCAAAATTTAATATTAATTTTTATTCGAATCAGCCTATCTATTATAATATGAATACGACTTTTAGCGTTGGAGTTCTGATATTTCGTTTTCCCGGTATTATTGCATTTAGCGTGTACAATGTACATATACTGTATGCATATATGTATATTTTAATTGTAAATCAAAAATAAAACTGCCGCCAAAATGCTCCCTCCGGGTTGACTATGACCAGGTGCAGAGACTATAATGTCTCCCTTTGGTTGACCATAAGTCCATAACCCTCGATCCAGCCCTCTGCCGAAATGCACGTGTGCATTAATTTTTTTTTTCCTATATCTTTTTCCATGCATAATATAATCTGCCATCATAACACGGTAAACCTTGTTAGCAGCACATTAAACCGGTTGTGCTGGTTCAAGCATTTTACCTCTACCTATTCTTCATTTGCGTTAAAATTCCATTAAAAGGTTAATGTCTGGTCAGCTCAAATGTATGCGGTATACGGTGATTTTTTTTTGTTGGTTTGAAACTAGTTTATATTCCCGATTCTTATAATAATAATATTATATCGTCGAACCAGATTTTACTCCAAACATGACGTGCTATTATTTCACGATGGAACATTTCTTTTTTACATCGGCTAGTTATATGTGTATATATTATTATAATATTGACAGTTTACAGTAAATAAAAACCGGTTTGTCATAATATTATTCCGAAGACGTATTTAATTAACATTTCCGTTATTGACTTTTTATTCTACAATTTGATTGAATGCTAAAAAGACGTAAAAGTACAATACTATTAATACGTTTTCCGTGTTTTCAAAATTTTTTTTTTGGGGAGGAAGGGAGATGTATGTCAATATTGTATTTTAATATTATAAATTGTTGTGTATTTCCAAAAATCGTTATATAATCATAATTATCGTAGATTTGTTACGGTGATTTATTACGTGTACATGGAATTGGATTAGGGGTTCAACCCAGCTATCCATCCACCTCCGAAATTTAAAAACTTCTAACGTATAATTGTACTCACTCCTCCGATTATGTCTTGACACAAATTTGTTATCTTGTGTTCTCCCCAATGGTTTTATAGCAAATATTTCATGCTTGTGCATTTCAACGGGAACCTAAAACGCAAAACGTAGTGGTATTCGTCTAACTTTTTTTTTTTATTTATCAAGTTTTAAATAAATTGTCTATCGCTTTGTTGGAAAATTTAAACGATACCCGCAGTTTTTTTAAAAAAAATTATTTTTAGTTATGTACTGAATATTATATATAGGTATACTTGTATATATATTTTTACTCAAACCGATTACGTCGAATAGTTAAATTAACGTGATCGTTGACGTCATATATACAGGGTGCCCCACGAATTTTTTTTTATTTTTTGGCGATTTAATAGATATACAAGCAGCTTTAAAATATTATACTTTCATCATTTTCTATCACCTTTATTTTTGAAACGATTATTTTATTTTGATTTTCAAAAAGTAATATGGTGGTGACAATTTTGATTTCCATCTACCCGTTTACGAGATATTACGAGTTAAATTTTGGGTAGAGGAGAGTTGTGAAACATCATTTATTTGGCGTTTGATTAGTCTTTTCTTAAATCGTAAAAAAAAAATTTGTAAAATTAATAAGTGAACGCGATAACATATAGATCATACATTCCGAGGTATCGTAATGGCCAATAGGTATATCCTTGTGAGGCACCCTGTATGTATTCCATTCTATATTAAGCCGGTATTGAAATTCACTAATGGCGAATAACCAAGCGTTTCGAATATGACACGTGCCGAGCTTCTATTATATTATAATACGTGTATTCTATATAGAATATTTTATGCAAATACAGACACGACGAACCGTGAAAGGCGGTGGTGTACGAAAATTAAACAATACGACTACTATATAGGCTAGTAGCCATTTAAAATTATTATTATTATTATTTTTTTTTTACGTACGCGTAGTTAAGCACACGTCCGCATGTGGCCGGTGTCGTCGTAGGCCGTCTTTTGACAAAAGTCGAACCGGAATTTGAAAGCGTCCATCTGTCGGTTCAACTATAATCTATAGCACGCATAACACCCTTTTTTCGTACCTATTATTCTTGTCGGATACACCTGGTTATAATTATTTTGATCGAGTACTACGTCATACTAGTATATATAGTAGCCATGCAGAATGTAAATAAAAGCACACCCTCCCCCTCCACCGCTAAGGTATTTTTTTTTTTGCCTAGTTTATTGTTTCTGTAGTATATTTATTTTTTTAATCACGTCTACTCACTATAGTATTTTATTTTTATGTTAAGGTCGAAATATTTGTTTAGTATTTTTTATAGCATTCAAATCAAGCGTGTATACTGTATAAATGTATATATTAGGGTGGTTCAAAAATTTGAACTTGATAACTAAACCCCTTCACGTTCGGCATCAGAGTTGAAAAATAATATGTATATCTTTTTATATCTTGTGAAAATATTTTGGGACGGAAGATACGGTAAATGCGATGATGGACGCTATAAGTCCTACATTTGTCGTCTACGTCAGTGGCGTACCTTTCTTAGGAGAGTGGGATGAATATATTTTCACCCACTCTTAAAATAGAAAATTCCTTTAAAAAGTAATATCACCGCACGACAATTTGTTTATTGGACGTGGGAATTAGGTTCTTTTATATTTGTGAAATATAACATTTTAGTACATAAAATAAGAAATTTTTATTTAATTAAATATAATATAATGCATGTTATACATTTATAATACAAAGTTTAACCTCCAGATTTTCATAGAAAAGAATCTTCAATGATATCCACTAGTACACTTATTTCCTGATAAATATGCAATAGTACAAGCTTGCATAAGCGATCCTGGCACATTTATTTTTCAACTTAAAATCGATGATTAGAAACAAATGTTGAACTGTCAAAATGAAATGATAATACCAGAAACCTTGACCCGGCTACCACAGATAGCAAAAATATTTTAATATCTATAGACTTGACCATTACATTACTTTATGAAAAATAAATTTCGAAATAATTGTAAAAACACGAAAAAAAAATATAACAATGCACACATATAATTACACAGCCCTTGGGGGGAGGAATGCCTCTCGCCCCCTCCCACAGGTACGTTACTGATATCCGTCTTACAAACATACGACATATAGGAAACTTTTGTACAACAAAATCAATTGTGTGCTATTACTTTTAATATTAGAATAAATGATCTA